AATGCACGGGCTGACCTGGGCTAAAGCCCAGGGGCCTACGGGGATCAGGGGCCTATCATGAGCCAATACAAAAGTTTTTTAAATAAAAAGTTTTTTATTTCGGATGTTTTTAAAAAACATTTAAATAAACAAAGTCTTGGCTTTCAGAATATGAAACTTTTATTTCCAAAATCACACGATAAATACATGTTTGAAGCTTGTAAAGGGAAGATGACAGCTCTCACTCGCCACTCACTCCCCCTCCCTCCGGCTGAAATTATGAATGTAAGAGTATAGTAATCATAGATAACACGGCAGGGTCCGTTACAGTTTGTTTTCATCTGATTTCAATTAAACAAAGTCTTTCAGAATATTAAACTTGTTTCGGCAAATTCAGATGATAAATACAACGTTGAAGCTTCGGCATAAATACAAGCGGAGAGCGGAGTAACTTGACGTCACTGCAGGCAAAACAACAGCCGGTGTTTCTACACAATACACACAAACGCAAAAATACACACAAACACAAACACACACACACACACACACACACACACACACACACACACACACACACACACACACACACACACACACACACACACACACACACACCACACACACACACACACACACACACACACACACACACACACACACACACACACACACACACACACACACACACACGTGAGCTTTCCCCAGACCAGTAATCCAAATGCAAATATCTTCCCTCCGTAGTATTTTGATCATTTGCTCCGCTAATCAATGAGATCGATGGATTCCAGAGATGACTCCGTAACAGTCAGTGGGCACCACCTAACAGCCAATCAGAATGAGAATATGTTTCACATGTGACTTATTCAAATTGCGAGTGATTGAGTGACAGATGAAGGTTGTTTAGGAGAAAATGTCGGAGAAGAAAAAGTTTAAGAGTGGCGCTCGGGAAAGGAAATTGTTGAGGGAAAAGGAGTTTCGAGACAAGCAGCTATTACAAAACAAGCCGAAGCTTACAGGTTATTTTAAACCTGTAGGCCAGGATGAGGAGGAAGGACAGATGAGTTCTGTACCGAGCGGCAGCGGTGCCGGCCGCAGGGCCTCGGAGCCAAGTAGGCCGTCTGGTTCTGATAGCGATGGAGTAGCAGGAGAGGAAAAACAGACAGGAGGGACATTATCTGTTGGAGGAGATGGGAGGACGACGAGGACTTGCTACGTGGAGGGGAGCCAACGGCAACCGGACAGATACATGAGGGAGGCCCGATACGTCACTCATCTGGAGGAGAGGACCAGGCGCGCGTGGCAGAGTGGAGAAGTGCGATCACAGAGCCTGCCGAGGCTATAAATGACTTTGATGTGTTGTTTAAATAGGGGGCCTACAAAACCTATCAGCCCCAGGGCCTGATGGCAGGTTAAGGCGGGCCTGCATGGTGTAGTCCTAAATGATAGCTGGGGATTCTGGGTAGTGTAGTGTCTTCTGCCATCCTTTACTCCGAAAAAATATTTGTTTCTCCGAATCGAAGGGGAAAAATACAAAAGCATTGCACACAATTTAAACCAATCAATGTTGTGTAATCAACAAGGATAGTCTGGTGTGTTTGAGTCGATGAGTAGTGCAGATATCACTGTCAAATCAATCCACAGGAAGAGGAATACTTACTTCCGGGTGTACAATTCTCCGTTATCCAATGGGAATGGACGCTCACATTGCCTTTAAGGGCAGCCGACACAAACGAATGCCGTGCTTCCATGAGCGTCACATCCCGCCGCAGATGGGAATACATTGCAATCAGTTGAAAGCTATTTGCGTCCCTGCATGAAGCTGAAGGAGCCGAGGAGCGTCACAACTGCACGCCACGGGACCCTGACCGAGCGTCGCTCCTGGACGCTTAGGGAGTGAGAGTGTGTTGTCTATGAATATGAACTCAGCCACCAGACAGTCATCGGCCCCACCAGATATCTGCAGATTTCTAAGAAGTAGTTTTGAGAACAGCTGTGTAGAGCCCAGAGGCCCTTACCTGTCCTGGTTTAAAACAGGCCAATCACAACTGTTTTTTAACCTGCTCAGGGACATACAGGGTGCCATGTGGGGATAACCCGGGTTATCGGTCGACGACATCTAAGGACGTTCTTTACAGGAAATACTGCCATCCCCCTTCAAACTAAAGCTATAGCAGATCACTGTTGTGTTAATTATTGGTAGAACTAAGGAGAACTTGGTAAGACAACGGAAGGCGTGGTTAAAAATTAGTAAGACTGTAAAACTATAACCTATTCACATGCAGTCTTTTTCTGAAAGATCATTCTTTAGGCGTTTCCTTATTAACAGCAGCGAAAGGGAAACAGGAAGTGGGGGGGCGGGGACAGTCCTAATACATGGGATGGTAGCTTACCTTGTAGAGCGATGGCCCCGCTGCTAACCCCATGGTGCCCTTCAACCGCTTCATCAGGTGGCAGAAGTGAAGCTTCTGGATCATCATCGATATTCACTTCCACTGCCATGGGGTTTAGGAGACTTCCAGCTGTGAAGAGCAGGTAACATTATTTAAGCCCTAATCCGTCCTCTCACTCCCCAGACATGCCGAGCTTAATATGCACTCTCTGCTCTCTGTAAAATCATTCAATGTTTGTATCTGTTTCACAATGAAAGCCCCGTTGGTCTGAATATTTCACAGAACACACTGGTTTTTCTATTGAAGGAGAGTAAAACCCATCACGCTGTATGTCCAGGTGTAGTTAGACTGCATTAGGTAAAACGTTTCTGTTGCTAGAGGACCCCCCTGTGGACATGTTAGTAAGTCCTGATGACTGATGCTGTTTAGGAGGAGGGGACCTAGTCACAGTGGTTTGTGGACTGCTTTTAAAACCTGTTTTAAAGTATGACAATTTCCAGAGGTGGAAAGAGACGGTAAATCTAAGTACAATCTACAACTCACTAAAGTTTATGACACATCACAAATTCATGCGATATGTGGGTTGATCTGAGGATCCCGACAAGCTATCGAGACAGGTCAATGGATTCATCTGATCTTACCTTCAGTGTAAGAGACCTCACCTTCTCTGAGGGTACCTGCTTTCTCCAGCAGCTGTCGGACTTGTTTTTTTGATCTTGTGTCTTCATTGTTGAACAGATGATACCTCTGTTGAAACTTTTCTACGACAGGCTTCAGAGGACCTTCTGGATCATCTTTAATGAACTCTTCCAGTGACATGTGTTCTAAGGTGTCTCCTGATGTGAAGAGCAGGAAACATGAGTCCAAGCCGTTCTCTCCGATGGCTTGTAGAGCTTTATCTACAGCGGTGTTCTGCTCGATAGTGAATCGATCTATTTTGACAACCACCAGGAACAGACACACTCCGGAGGACCGCAGGAGATTCTGGCACAGAGTCTTAATCACCTCTTCAGACCCGATTATTCCCGGAGTGTCGATCACTGAGATCTGCTTCCCAAAAGATTTTGATTTTGCTTCAGAGATCTGTTTTGTCACTGATCTGAAGGACTTCTTTGACTCAAACACTGTTCGTCCCAGGATGGTGTTTCCTGCAGCACTCTTACCAACGCCAGTGTTTCCCAGGAGGACGATGGTGAGATCTGGTTTTTGATCCATGGTGGAACAGCGTATTCCCTGCAGGAGACCAGAGACAGTGGTGTGTTAAGATGTTAGATCTCAGTCACTGAAAAAGACAGGTCCAGGGCTTCGGCTTCAATACCCCGCTCTTAAATGAGGCAGACAGGCAGGCTGTTCTTTGGGAGGCCTGAGTGTTTATTTGTAACTTTGTTATACAGCTACCTTCTTGACAGACTTATCGCCACTGCTACTCCGGCTCACTTCTAGAAACATTACTACGCTGCTCGCTCGCTCCGAGACGCTCACTCTACTGATGCATACTCCAAATGCGTACCCCCCTCTCTCTCTTAAAGGGATAGACGACTTTACTCTGCATGACCCTTCTATTATAACACACTGGTTGTGTTTTGGATTGGAGAATCATAAGCCACTGCTAGGTAGGAGAGCCATGGCCACCTCCTACCTTTGTGAGGTTTTTCTGCTGTGGCCTCAATAAGAATATTACAGGTCAAAGCTTGACATGGAAAGGAACTAAGAGTGCCAGTCTCACAGCTGCAACCACAATTAGAAAAGATCTGCAGAAAAAAGCAAGCCGACACCATTCACTGAAATTATGTGGTGATAAAATATGTGGTGGGGGTCGAAAATATTCTTATCTACAAAAGGGAGTCCAGCCAAAAAGGATTGGGAACCACTGAGCTAACACTAGCTAACGGATGTTCCATTGAGTGACATTAGGATGAAGCTCTATTCAGTACAAAACAGTAAAGGTAAATCATGTCATGATGATTTCACAGCAATATAGTACATATGAGAGAGAGTTATGACCATTTACACTTCCTGACAGAAAGCAGTATGCTAACGTTGTAAAGGAGAGGATGTTTGGAGTTTATGGGACTTATGGATCAGTTTTTTAGCGTGGCATATACATGTTATCAGGCATTATGTCCAACAATGTAAAATACTCCAAACGTAATGTATATTTTTGAATAATGTTGTTAATATAAAATAAGGTGGTTGTTTAAATGTATTCATGATTTGTAATGTGTTGGTCGAAGCGCACCATCTATTGATTTCATGCTAAATGTATCCGAACTTTTGGATCAGTTATGAAATAAACTGAAGCAATTATAAAATGATCCCCAGTAACTGAGTTTTACTTCTTTTTTTAAGTTCTACTTAGTATTTAAGGAAATCATGAAAATGAATGATTTAAACATTTCAGAATTACATTACATCTCTGTGAGCCACAAGTGTGTGTGTGTGTGTGTGTGTGTGTGTGTGTGTGTGTGTGTGTGTGTGTGTGTTTGTGTGTTTGTGGGGGAGGGGTGAATATGAAAGAGAAAGCGTTTTGTTACCGAAGACAAACTTCACTTTCTGTATTTTTTTGTGAATAACAGAGTAAACAGCGTTTTGCTTGTTTGAAGCTGGATTTGAACTTTTACTGTTTTTAAATCTGATTGGATAAATCAATAAGACGTTTGTTTCACTCAGACTTCCTCTTATCATTATGTCAGACCAGTGAAATGGCAGAGCAGTGATAAGAGGAAATCAGATCACCTGACAGAAACAACATGGATGTGCTGCCAAAAGCCACACCTTAGCATACATCATTTACAGTCCACACACACACACACACACACACACACACACACACACACACACACACACACACACACACACACACACACACACACACACACACACACACACACACACACCACACACACACACACACACCACACACACCACACACACACACACACACACACACACACACACACACACACACACACACACACACACACACACACACACACACAGTAAAGCAAGTCTCTGGAAAAATAACCAAAACAAGCCAAAAGCTAAAAAAAAGAAATAAGAATTCAAAACAAACTGAAAGATAAATAATTAACAATAACCTTAAGAAAGAAAAAACATTGTTATTCAAAATAAAGAATATAATTGTATTTGTGCACCAGTCAGAATGTCGTTTTTACATCAGGAAGGAAGAAGGTCTGCATAAAGTTTATCACATATAGTTATGTAAATACGTATCAACAACATTCAGTCGACATATTTAATGATTAAATCAAAAGAGAGAAATAAAGAGAAGAAGAGAGACACTGACCTGCCAGAACACCGTGTTGGTTGAGTCTGAAGAACAAAGGTTAACTTCATCACGTTTCAATCAGATGAGCCACTTCCTGTAAAGACCTTCAAAATAAAAGCTGCTGTGTCCTTTTCTCTCTGACTTGTAATAAAGTCCCTACAGAGAGAACATGTGATGATAGAGAGTGTTTCAGACCTCCTTCTTGTGTTGGGTGCTTGTGTTATTGCTCTGCCTCCAGTTCCCCGGTGAGTTTTATTGTGTAGACCGGATGTAGTTGTGCAGAGTTTCCTCTTGACAGAAAGGAGTTCACGTTGAGGAAATGGCAGAAACACGTAAACCCCGTAAGTGTAATTTACCCTGATTATTTCACTCTGATTCTTTAAACCCACTTTTATCTCGAGTATCTTTTCTTCCTTTGAGGTTTCCGAGTTTAAAGGCGGGATTTATTCTGTTTTTAATTATTTAAACTTTACTTTCACTCAGAGACGGGTCTAGAAATATTTGGGTGGAGTGGCCAATATGGGGCACAGACACAGAGCAGGGTGGTACATTTAGATAACGTGGAAAAAGTAATACCGCAGAAATGATAGCCCCAATTTCTAGATAATACATTAAAGGTCCCGTGTCATGGCCATTTCTCCTGATCATAGTTCCATCGTTGAGGTCTCTAGAATAGATTCACTTTGTTCAATGTTCCAAACTCACATTGGTTTCTCACAGCATCTCTGTGTAGTCTGTGTATTCACTCTCTGTCCTACACGGCTTGTTGGAGCTCCTGCCCCCCCCTCCCTATGAGCCCAGTCTGTGAGACAGCGAAACCCAGCCCGAACACACACACCCGCAACTTGGCTGGGAATTCGTGTGTGTGCTCACACACCGACTCACAGCCTCGCCGCGTCCCGCCGTCTCAGGGAGGAGAAATCGGCGGAGCTGCAGCTGAGAAAAGATTGAGTGTGTGTGTGAGGAAGTCTGTGGATTGGTCAATTTGGACCAATCCACAGATTTAACCTAACGGCTCCGCGGACGAAACGTAACGGCTCCACGGATTGGTCCATTTGGGTATGGGCACGTCACTGTACCCAGGAAGAAAAACAGAAATGTCCAACGAGGCGTTCTGAGACACAGGTCTGTGCTGTTTTGAGGGATTTTGTGTTCAGGAAAAGTGAGTGAATGTAATTTGAAAGCACATTTTTGAAACATATAAAACCAAAGTGAATCCCACATTTCGATATTTAAATGTTTGATAAATACGTTTCATAGACTTTTTAAAGAGGAGGAAGTGGATTTAAAACTGAAGCTGACTTTAGTTCATAATAATCTGAGGAATAAAGTGTGTTAAGGTAAGTATGAATAATACATGTATAAGTATGTTAAGTATTCTTCCACTGATTCTCTTTGTGTCCTCTTGAATATTAATAATACATGTGTCTCTGTCCCTGAACAGATCGTGAGAGGAGACACAGCATCGACTATCCTCCAGGTCTGAAACACTTTCAACACTTTCTATACTTTAAATGACGGTATACAAACGGTCCCTTTAATACAAAACAAGCCACTCTTTATCCAGAGGAAAACACAGCTTGTGTTTGAGCCAACATTAAGTTAGTGACTTCTGATAGAAAGTGATAATCTCATGACTCTGATTTCCTGTCCCAGTCTTCAGTGAGCTCAGGCTGGTTCTAGTTGGGAAGACTGGAGCAGGGAAGAGTTCCAGTGGAAACACTTTGCTGGGAAGAGTCGCCTTCAGCGCCGCCGTCCATCAGTCCTCAGGTAACAGCTCAACGCTGTTTATATATCCTTTATTTGTCTCATTGAGATTACAATCAGCTTTTCATGAGCGACCTGCCCAAGGAGGCAGCATGAACAAAGTTTCAACAACTGAACACAAAACAATACAGACAGAGAATACAGCTGTAAAACACAAATGAAATGGCACATTAACCAGTCAATATGCAAATAAATAAACAAGTATAAAACATTAAAAACTGGCACAATTATAAAACGTCTTCAATTATGGGATATAAGAGTAATCACGACTTCCGGTTTGGTGAGCGACGCGATGGCTGCTTAAAGATCGTGCTCCCGACATTCGGTGCTAAGAGTTACCATCTACAACCGGAATACATAAAACATTTATTTTACAGTTTGGTTTAAGAGTGTTGGTCTTGATAATGTCTAAAAAAACGAGTAAAAAACGAATGCAGACTGCGTTATTTGACGGAGACGGAGCTAGCCTAGCTTCCTCTGCTAGCAGCGTGGTAGGGGACGACGACACTCCAACGCACCTCGAGGAAGACCAAACTGGGAGAGCGGACATGAGTCTCATACTGAAAGAATTGAGAGAGTTCAGGAAAGACAACGGTCAGCAGCTGAAAGAGATTCGTAATGCAATAAATAAGACTAACACTAGAATTGCCGAGGCAGAAGGGCGGATTGAGGCGACTGAAACACGGCTACAGGTGGCGGAGGAGGCAGTGACGGAGCTGCTACAACTACAGGTGCATCTGGATGCTAAGCTAACGGACCTGGAGGGTCGGTCCAGACGGGAAAATATCCGAATCCACGGTGTTAAAGAGGGGGCGGAGGATAATTCCCCGTCGATGGGAGCCTTTGTGGAGGATTTGCTGAGGGAGGGTTCGGACCTCCCGGCTACATTTGAACTACGAGTTGAGAGAGCGCACCGCGCCCTGATGCCGAAGCCGCCCGGGGAAGTCTTGCCGAGGTCTATTGTAGTCAAACTGTCAAGCTACAGGACGAAAGAAGAATTGCTGAGACTGGCCTGGCAAAAGCGAGGATTTCAGACCGGGGACCCGGGACAGAGCCGTTTCAAATTCCTTTCCATTGGAGCGGGGAACAAGACAGGGCTGCCCAATAGCCCTGTCTTGTTTGCGATCTTTATCGAACCTCTGAGCCAGTGGATTATTCAGAATAACAGTATCAAGGGAATAGTAATGAAGGGGGTGGAACAAAATATCTCCTTATTTGCTGATGACATATTGGTATATCTATCCAGCCCAGAACTCTCTCTGGTGCAGTTATTTTCAATTTTAGAACAATATGGATCCTTCTCTGGATATAAACTGAATGTTTTGAAGACACACATTTTGAGTTTTAAGTACTGCCCCTCAGTAAATATGAAGAACAACTATACATTGAGGTCGGATGCTGAATCCATGAAGTATTTGGGAGTAAATATTCCAATAGATTTGACAAAACTGTTTTCACTTAACTACCTACCTTTGAACCAAAAGATTAGGGAAGATATAAGAAGATGGGACATGAAACGTGTAGTTCTCGGGGGGCGTTCGAGTCCAGTTTTGAATAGTCTGCCGTGGTTTCGTTCCATTTCAAAGAGCTTGACGCTCGGCGTAACCTTGGCGCACTGCCACTCCAACATCCAATCCCAGAGCTTGAAGATTAATCACGGGGTTTGTCAAAGTGGACAGGCGTCGTCACAACAATAGCTGGGGATTGTGGGTAGTGTAGTCTCTTTGGCGCTCCACATTTCAGAGAAAACAAGTTGTTTCTCAGAATCGAAGGGGAAAAACACAAAAGCATTGTTCACACTTTAAACCTATCGATGTAATTTAATTAACAAAGGTAATCTGGTGTGTTTGAGTCGATGAGTAGTGCAGATATCACGGTCAAATCAATCGACAGGAAGAGGAATACTTACTTCCGGGTGTACAATTCTCCGTTATCCAATGGGAATGGACGCTCACATTGCCTTTAAGGGCAGCCGACACAAACGAATGCCGTGCTTCCATGAGCGTCAAATCCCGCCGCCGATGGGAATACATTGCAATCAGTTGAAAGCTATTTGCGTCCCTTTATGAAGCTGAAGGAGCCTCGGCGCGTCACAACTGCACGCCACGGACACTGACCAAACGTCGCTCCTGGATGCTTAGAGAGAGAGATTGAGTGTGTTGGCAGGGGGACAGCAGGGGGACGCTCACCTGCACCTCGTCTTTGTGAGGCTGGTTTAAAGTTAATGTCACCACTGTGATTAAAACACACATTCTTTAGCCAGATCAGCAGCAGGATAGTGAGTCAGTCTGCACTGATATACCACTGGGGGGTTCTTCCAGAGGAAGCTGCTCACAGCTGGTTCTTAGCTGCTAGCTGTTAGCTGTTAAATGCCGTCTCTGCGAGTTACTGTGAAAACGGGAGAGCTTGTTGGTCCCTCTCTACATTCACAGAGGGCCCGCTATAGTAACTCAACGAGAGAGTAATGTCAAATACAACTGACCAATCATATCTTCCCTCTAAATGGGTGGGCTCTATTTTCGCGGACTTTATGACAAGTTAGGCCCCCTGTGAGGTCTATGCAAGAGGTGCAGTGACGCGTCCTAAGGAAGTAAGCTGCACTCGGATGGAGAGGCGAAGTCCCGACCATCTACTTCCGCCCCATGGGACCTTATTTCTGAAAAATAATGCATTGAAGTCAATGGAGAAAGAAAGATTATCTTTCGATCCCGTTTGAATTGTGCCATGAATTACACACATGATGTTTGTCAATTTAAAAATTATTTCCATGTCAAAAAAGTCACAGTTTGTCGTAAAACTGTTGAAATATAAGACGATGAAAAATACGCAACTAGAAAGACTACAAATCCCAGAGTCCCGGTCCCGCATGCTGGCTCTCACGGAACCGACTAACTCCCCTTGTGTGTGTGCAGCTCTCAACGCGCCCAGACTTGTTGGGATTTCCACCTCTTTTAATGCTTTCCGCCTCGTTCTGAAAGAAAGAAGTGAAATGTTCCAACGTGACGGCCGTCTGGGTGTGTGGTGCGAGACGGGAGATGTAGTTCATTGAGCTGTTTTTTTTTTTTACTTACAAAATAATCTTTTAAATTGACAAACATCATATGTGTAATTCGTGGCACAATTCAAACGGGATCGAAAGATAATCTTTCTCTCTCCATTGACTTCAATACAGATTTTTCCAAAATAAGGTCCCATGGAGGAAAGGGAGGGACTTCGCCTCTCTATTCCCTCGACAGAAAGCAATGGGATTTCTCCATAGGATTTTAGAAGATAGCTGGAAATAAGGTCTGTGGAAAACGAACCTGTTAGATACATGCACGTTTTGTTCAGCCGGATAATATCCACATGCCTACCTTACTTTTATTATTTTCGAATCATAAATCTAATCGATAGATTTATGATCGCTAGATTTATAATTAGCATAAGTTTGTTCATGATGGCTCACTTCAGTGATAGTGATACATCGTTTGCAAAATTATTAACCGAGTCATTTTCAAGATGAAGTTCCAATGATAAACTGGAGTGGCAAAGGGTCAGCTAGGTATAAAAGTCACGGCTCGCCACTGCATATAGTTACATATTGTGTGTTTCAGATTGTGTGTGTGTAACATATTGTGTGTTTCAGAGTGTGTGTTACATATTGTGTGTTTCAGATTGTGTGTGTGTTACATATTGTGTGTTTTAGTGTGTGTGTAACATATTGTGTGTTTCAGAGTGTGTGTTACATATTGTGTGTTTCAGAGTGTGTGTGTGTGTAACATATTGTGTGTTTCCTCCCCCCAGTCACCAGGGAGTGCTGTAAGCAGACAGGGGAGGTCTCTGGGAGGCAGGTGGCGGTGGTGGACACCCCCGGGCTCTTCGACACCTCGTTACCGGAGCACAGCGTGAAGAGAGAGATCTCAAAGTGCATCAACATGTCGGCGCCGGGGCCCCACGCCTTCCTGCTGGTCATCAGGGTGGGGCCGTTCACCGGGGAGGAGCGAGACGCCGTGCTTCAGCTGGAGCAGATCTTCGGGGCGGACGCCTGGAAACACACCATCGTCCTCTTCACCCACGGAGACGCTGTGGGGCCTCAGCTGCTGAAGGAGGCGGGCCCCGAGCTGACGGCCGTCCTGAAGAAGGCAGGGAACCGGTTCCACGTCTTCAACAACGCCAAGGCCAACGACCGCGGACAGGTATCTATCTTTCATTATATCAATCTATCATCTGTGTGAATCTGTCCTGTTTTTTCATTCTTACCCTGTTGCTGTTAAACAACTGAATTTCCCCACAGGGATGAATAAAGGTCCAACTCCCCTTATCTCATCTTAGGTGCTGGATCTGCTGGAGAAGGTGGAGCAGATGCTGGAGGCTAACGGAGGACAGTTCTACTCCAACGTCCGCTACGAGGAGGTGGTGGAGATGCTGGACCGCAGAGAGGCGGAGCTTAGGGTGCTCTACAACAGGAAGCTGAGGGAGGAGATCCGACGGGTGGAGAGGAAGTACGAGCTGAAGCTGAGGGACGAGACGCATCAGCATCTGCAGGTGGAGCAGCGTCTGCAGGCCGAGCTGCAGGAGGTGACGCGGTACTACCGGGTCCTGGAGAAAGGGGTCCGGCTGGTGGTGGAGCAGACGGTGCCCTCCGACTCCTTCCAGGAAGTGCTGTCCCAGTTCAACGAGAAGCTGAAGCTCAATGTTCAGTCCTGAAGCTCCTGATTCTCTCACTGGGTCAAAGTCTGATCAAACTGTTCTAATTCTAAAGCTGAATGTGTCATTGAGTAACGTTCTGGTTGTTTTTGTTTATGTTATAAATGTACCGTTGCTCATAAAAGGTTCAACTCTGATCTATAAACAGTCGTTATCGGACAACATCCGGAGTACCAGGAGTTTCCCTTTCACTCGGAGCTGAGGAAATGTGGAAGCTAGTCCCATTTCACAGAGTTCTGAAACTAGATCCCAGGATTCAAAAGCTCGTACTCAGAAGGAAAGTAGATCCCCAGAAATAAGTTAAAAACAATTGGAAAATACTTCAGAGATTCTAAGTCAGAGAATAGTTTGCAGTTCTCTGAAAACAATGTCAAACTTCTGAAAATATTTTACAAAATCCTGAAATAGTCCAAAGAAATGTATAAAATAAATCTGCAAAATGCTGAAACTATTCCACAAGAAACTGGTTTCCTGAGAATTCTGAAACAATTTTGACAAAATTCTTAAAATAATTCCCAGAACTCTAAAATCTGTTTTCATTATTTGTAATATTTGTTGAATGGTTTCAGAAGTCTAGAAAGAGTCAGTGGAGACGTTTCACTAATACATGACTTCTATGAAAAACCCTTAAACAACATGTTGATTTGATTAAAGTTGTGTAATCGTTGTATTGTTCATCACCATGTAAAGCCTCTGGGGTATTATAAACTCTGTGACCTGTTCATTAAGTGTTTTTTTAAATAAATACACATTGAATGTAGATCAAGTTTCTGTTTATTTATGACGATTTCCAAACATCAGCATCATGTTGAACAAACCCTCCCTCAGAATACACAGTTAATAAAGTTCATAAATCACACGCTGGGTAAGTATTGATCAGAGACTTCAGGTGAATGAATAAGATAAAGACGGGGTGAACCACAAGCCTCTCCAAAGCTAACGGACCTGTCTCTAAAGCTACAGAATAAAGCAGGGAACATCTTCATTTTGCACCAATGAGAAACGAGACGAGCTAGATTGAGGGACTCTCAGAGCTAGTGCTGCTCGCTAACTCTTCCATTAGAAATCAATAAGGTTTTTATTGTTTACTTTATTTGTTTAAATCTACCAGACTGTTGAGAGAAGGTCTCAGTGCAGCTAAGACCACTAGCCACTAAGCTAACGCAGTGCATCATGCTTTAGCATCAAGCTAACACTAGCTTCTGAGAGAACTTTATCACTTATTAAATCATAATCATAATTCTCATCAAACATCATTTAAATCCTGTTTATATCATCAAACTGCCCTCATGAACACGTGAGGAGAAGCTCAGAGTAAAGACAGTCGTACAGAAGTCATTCATCACTTTATGGGAGAGATGGAAACGCATTCATTATGATATCAAGTACTATTGGTCTTCAGTCTTTAACGACTAAGCAGTAACTTATTAACTTCTGTTCTGACCCGAAGTGAAAGACCTGAAGACCAGAGGGGGGAGGGGTCTTCCTGTATAACACAACACAGGCTGATGCTATAAACCTGTGGCATTGATCAATAATCACTTTAATATAAAAACACACTTAGTTTTATAAATGTCCCGACACGTTCATAAGGTCTCAATACGTTCTTATGTCTCTTAGTTATTTTAATGTGCTGCCTCTCATTCTTTAGCCGTGGTTGTGTTTGTCTTTATTTGTATTACTAATGTCTGCTTTTCTTTATTATTGCTGCCTTTTTGACCTGCTACGCCCCTTTTGACCCTGGTTCTGAGAGAGTAATCTGGGTGTTATATGTTCTGAAGGCATACATCAACAGCACCGAGAGGCCTGAGAGGGTTCCAAAGAACCAGAACTTGTGCTGCTTTAAGGTCTTCCAAACGCTAGCTAACGCTCTGTAAACTCTTCCTCTCTGAGCCCTCCTGAACATCTGGTCTGTGTAGTGCTGACCTCCGTTAGCTGAGACCATCTCATCTATCTTAGACAGGAAGGTTCTGACCTGCTGTCTGATTCTTCTCCTGTTGTCAAACACACAGTATCTACCTCCACACATGGAGACCAGCTTAGAGACATGACTGTTGGACCGGATCAGACCCTCGATGGACTGACCTCCTAACTTGTCCCCATGAGTGAAGAGCACCATGGAGTAGCTCCAAACCTGGCCTCTGAGCAGCTGCTTCAGGTTCTCAAACAGAGCGATGTCTGCCGAGCTGATGCTGCCCAGCCTGAGCACCAGAACCAGGGCGTGCGGTCCTGGACTCGCCTGCTCTATGGACTTCAGGATCTCTTTAGACAGCTGTTCAGGAGACTCACTTCCAGCTGTGATTCCTGGAGTGTCCACCACGGTGACCTGACGCCCCCCCACCCCCGCAGAGTGACTGACCGACTCAGTGCTGATGGGGTTAAAGCCAGGGTCCGACGCAAACTGATCCGACCCCAGGATGGTGTTCCCTGAGGAACTCTTCCCTCCTCCAGGAGGGCCGAGCAGCACCAGCCTCACCTCCTCCAATCGGACTGACTGCGGGACACCTGGAGACACAGAGACATTTAGCGTCTGTCCAAAGAGACTCTAGACTCAACCTGAGAACAGACAGAACCCTGCAGCTACTTTAGCTTCAAATAAACCTGTTAGGAAACTCTCCCTGGTCCCCGGCTTGAGCTTCAGCCTCAGGATCCATGTATCTGTGATCCTCTCCAGAATGGAAGGAGTCATCACATACAGAGCATCAACTAGTTCCTGAACAGTGTCCTTCACATGCTGATATCCAAGAGAGGGAGTTACACATGTCACAAGATGGAGGAATAGAAAGCAGTATTCAATGTTTACTTCAGATTAGCTCCACGTCAGAAATGAGCATGCTTGATGTCTCTCTCCATAGAGGCTGAATCATCATGTTAATCCAACACATCCTCACTCCCAGGTCGGCCTATGTTGACGTTATGTCAAGTCCCCTGTCGGCTTTTTCCAACGCAAGGGGGGGGCCTTAGCGTCCATTTTCAACGCAAGGGGGGGGGGGGGCCTTAGCGTCCATTTTCAGCTTTCCGGGATGTCCATATGCTTCTATGGACGCTCATGGAAGCACGGCATTCGTTTGTGTCCGCTGCCCTTAAAGGCAATGTGAGCGTCCATTCTCATTGGATAACGGAGAATTGTACACCCGGAAGTAAGTATTCCCCTTACTGTCGATTGATTTTACAGTGATATCTGCACTACTCATCGACTAAAAAACACCAGATTATCCTTGTTAATTACACAACATTGATTGGTTTAAATTGTGTGCAATGCTTTTGTATTTTTCCCCTTCGATTCGGAGAAACAAATATGTTTTCGGAGTAAAGGATGGCAGAAGACACTACACTACCCAGAATCCCCAGCTATCGTTTGGACTACACCATGTTTGACGTCACGTGATCTTCAAATTTCTCCCTGAAGAAAAAAAAAACATGGCCGAACTTCGTTTTATTCTCGATGGAAATGCCTATTTTAAAGTTAGTTTGGCCATTAAAATGCGTTTTGATGTCATTTGATGCGAGAAATATGAGTTGTTATTTCAGATTATGTGTGCAGTGGATGTACATGATCTTTAGTTTGCTAGTTATTACGAAGATTACTTCAGGAAATTGCGTCCATCGTTTTCATTGTTACCAAGGTGGTTGCTAGGGACGCTGCTATCGATATTATTTCTGTTATGTTGTGTAACTGTTTAATGGTGTTATCTTTATTGCTACCCCCTTCCCCGTCAATGTATAGTGTTGGTCCACAGCGCAAACGTATTAGTTTAACAAAATCCGCATCTAAAGATAGCCTACGTTATTTCCCCCTGTGCAATTCCAGTCTTACATCTCACAGCACATCGTCATTAACAAATACCGGAAACAGACCGAAAACATTTAAAAAAAATTACAAAAATACTTTATTCCGAGTGTGCTTGCTTTTCTCTTTGACAGTCATCACATACCGCCATTGTAATACACGGTTCGGCTGCATTAAATACTACATATCTGCCGTAGTTCTGTATTTATAGAGCCCTGATGAGAAGACTTCTAGACAAACATGAGGAACTGAAAACGTGACGTGGGTCATAAATATATCAGCAATTAAACAACATCTTACATTTCTTTTCACACAATACGTCTCCTTGCAGTATCAACACTAATTCGGCTGACTTTTATATTTGATCCAATTGGTAGATAGGCTGTATTTACACCATAAAGGTGCACAGCTGATATTAAGGGACACCTAGTGGTTAAAGCATGTTATTGAATTTCATTATTTTTATTATTAGATATGAATAGGATCCCTATAAAGTATATTAATTACTCGTTATTCTCTACTAATAGTTCATTAAAGACTGTATATAATGACTATTTTGCACATCCCTTTCAAGATTTCAAGATTTTCTAAGGTTTATTGACATATCATATAGGCCTACACAAATATGGTGTAGTTCTGCATTGAATGAAAAACTTGGGTCGCAGGTTCCTCAATAGTGCATTACAAGACATCTATCAATATTTGTGCATACCTCCAGCAATGTTAACTATGTTGAAGCACTTATTTTAACTGATATTATACATATGTATTATACTCTTATAAGATGTATGTAGATATTTCATCTCCGACCTTGTCAGGTATTGAACAATCAATAAATAAAGAACACAGAATTGTTGAATATAAAACACAGAATTTGTGTGATTATACTAAATGATTTACAAATAAACACCACTGCATATTTAACTGTTACACATGCTGATGTAATGCAAATGTTCCAACTTGAGATCAATAAAGTATATCTTATCTTAAGCTGATCGATGGCTACTGCCATATTTGCAAAATGTGCCTCTGAACCTTAACAAGTGCATGTTTCAGGCTTATCAATGAACAACAGGAGGGGTCACAGACATAAGACCAGCTGTTCTGACCTTAGCTGGCATGTGTGTGTATATATATTAATGCTGCCCATTATGGGCACAAGCAATCTTCACCCATTTATTAATTATATGTTTTAAATGTGAGTGTTTCCTATCCCCTAAACCTCCAGGGATGTACACAGTTTAATACTGGCAACTTCTTATTATGGGAAATACGAAAACGTCTTTTAAAACTATAACTCCCAGTAGAGACGTGCCATAGATACAGAACATGTTGCGAAACAGAATAGCCAGCATGTGTAGTTCTGGGGACGGGGTGGGGGAGGGGGGGACGCGGTGGACCCGTTCAAATCCAGTTTGGACAGTCTGCCGTGGTTCCATCCCATTTCAAGTGCTGTTCGAGGCTCGGCGTAACCCTCGGAGCACACTCTCCAATCACAGAGCTTGAGGACTATCACGGGGTTTGTCAAACAGAGCACATGGTGTAGTCCAAACGATAGCTGGGGATTCTGGGTAGTGTAGTGTCTTCTGCCATCCTTTACTCCGAAAAAATATTTGTTTCTCCGAATCGAAGGGGAAAAATACAAAAGCATTGCACACAATTTAAACCAATCAATGTTGTGTAATTAACAAGGATAATCTGGTGTTTTTTAGTCGATGAGTAGTGCAGATATCACTGTAAAATCAATCGACAGTAAGGGGAATACTTACTTCCGGGTGTACAATTCTCCGTTATCCAATGGGAATGGACGCTCACATTGCCTTTAAGGGCAGTCGACACAAACGAACGCCGTGCTTCCATGAGCGTCTATAGAAGCATATGGACATCCCGGAAAGCTGAAAATGGACGCTAAGGGCCCCCCCCTTGCGTTGAAAATGGACGATAAGGCCCCCCCTTGCGTTGGAAAAAGCCGACAGGGGACTTGACATAACGTCAACATAGGCCGACCTGGGAGTGAGGATGTGTTGTGTTGGTTAATCACATAGCTATCATCTGCCTCAAACAGTCCTGATGCTCTTCTAGGTAATCACACATCCTGTAATGTTCACAGCTACAGTTGATACCTTTGTTAGCATGTGCTCTCATGTTGGAGGAGGACACTCAGGGTTTGACCAACACAATCCTATGCAGATTACTCCTGAAATCACTGATGTGCAATGTTTTACTTTAGCTCCTCTGACCTGGAATATAATCCTGTCAAAACAAATCTCTTTTTTGTTACTCTGAGATTGGAAGAGGACATTCAGAACTTTCCCAACAAAACCCATCATTGTTGATCCTGAAAACGTCAGGAATGGACTCCGCAATAACCCCCAAATCTGCCCAGACATACAAGCATCTCCAAAGTGTCCTCAGTACAGCACTTGAGTAGATGAGTACATGTACCTGCTGGGGGGGGGTTCTGGGCTTGGAGTTGGCCCGTCTTCTCCAGCAGCTCTCGGACTTGTTCCTGCCCTCCGCTCTGGTTGTTGAACAGATGATATCTGTCTGAGAACGTTGAGCAGTGAGCTGCAGTGTCCTCGTCTTCAAGGATGAAGTCCTCCAGAGCCTGGCCCTCCAAGGCGTCCCCCCCGGTGAACAGCAGGAAACACCGGTTGAAGTCCTGAGGTCCGAGGACTCTGTGAGCTGCCACCAGAACCTTCCCCTGCTCTTTGGTGAAGCGCCCCACACTGAACACCAGCAGGAACAAGGTCTCTCTGCCAGACCCCCGGAGCTCCTGGCACCAGGCCTGGATCAGCCGCTCTGAGCCCAGGATCCCCGGGGTGTCCACCACCGAGACCTGCTTCCCAAACACGGTCTCAGTGGCCTCGGAGATCTGCCTGGTCACCGGGGTCGGGCTCTGTCTGGACTCGAACGCAGGGCGATCCAGGATGGTGTTTCCTGAAGCACTCTTACCAACACCGGCGTTTCCCAGCAGGACGATGGTGAGACCTGGATCCATGTTGACCTGCAGGAGACCAGAGGAAGAAACTCCATCAACGCTCCTCCAGACACCGAGAGCAGGAAGAGGGGAGGAGACAAGTATTTGGACCATAGGGTCATTTGTACTGGGGACGCTGGTGATGGGAATTCCGGCTCTTCTTGGTGAGCCGGATCATTTGGCTCGGCTCACCAAGAAGAGCCGGCTCTTTCGGCTCCCAAACGGCTCTTCAGTTTACCACATATTATACCTTTTAATTAAATCAAATGTAGCCCTGTTTTGACTAATTAATGATGTATATGTGTACACACATATATCACTTACATTATTCAATACATCCTTTGTACTGAAGTATTCAAAAGTGAAAATTACATGTTTAATATAAATGATTTGCTGTGGCCAAATGTTTTCAATGCATTTACAGACCCGTGTAACTCTCTGATCCCACCCAATGAATGCACTGACTTGCTTGTAGATCCACGCTACACAAAACAGATAGCAACACCTATAAAAACGTAAGCATAGACATTTAAAAAAAGGGGCTACTGTATCGACATTTTAAAATTATATTTAAAGAAAAGGCCCTGACAAAACAGCAGGGCTCTATTTCAGTAACTATTAACTATAGAGAAAAAGACAGCAACAGCTGACATCAAATCTTTGCTGAGCCTAAGGATAATCATAAATAAATAACATAGTGAAAATAAATGTATTGCAATGCTCAAAACAGCAGCATCCAACCGTCTCTAATCCTTGGATATTACATGTCACTGCATGCATGCACGGAGCAGCTGTAGCGCGGAGATTATCATATCATTCTGTCTTGTATTAGGATAGTTAAAGGTGGGGTAGGTACATTTGAGAAACCGGCTCGAGATACACTTGTTGTTATCTTCCATGGAATGCTCTTAACATCCTGATAGCAATGAATCTCTGAAGTGCTTTGAAGCCGTGGCGCTGTACAAAGCTCCACCAATCATCTGAGCCGGCTAAAGTAACTGGATGGCCTACCTGCCTGTCAGCCTCCCATCTGGGCACAGACTGATCTCTGTCCTCATTGGTCACGTGCGCGTTCGTGTGTGTTGGAGGAGGGGCTCTGTGAGGAAGGGGCAGATTTTC